TCGTATCGATTAATTAGCTAGTTTTTGAGATAGTGTATTCATAGGTGTAAAACACCATAGGTGTGTTTTAGTAAAAGTAATCTATATTGCATGTAACTAGAGATGGGCAAATTGTGGTTTTTCCAAAAATCCCGAGCGGGATAGGATCCTTGATTTTGATTGGCCAACGGCTGTGATCGATAAAATTCTGGCCCGCATTATACATAATTTTGGTCGGAATTGACCCATTGCATTAACGATAGTCATGCAAGAGTATTATCGCGAAGATGATCCAGGTGACCAACCAGTTTTAGTTATTTATGGTAAGTTGGGCGTAAGTTATGTTTGGGTATTTTTATGGTAAGTTGGGCATAAGATAATTTCCAGTGCTTCTTTCTTTCGCTGCCCGATTGTTATCTGGTTTTATAGTAAAGAACATTGTCGTGGTTGTTGCAATGACAGATTCAAACATTTCAAAGAATGATTTGTCTGACATTTGCCATAGTTTAGGCGTGTCAACAGAAGGAAATAAAGCAGACCTTGTACAAAGATTAAAAGATTTTCAAGGTTATGGTTTCTATGAGAAAAATGCTAATGAGCTGTGTGTGAATATTGATGATGAGTCAGTAATTTCTGATTATCCTAACGAAACCACTGAAACGCTAAACCCCGAAACACAAGCATTGAGAGAATTGCTTCGGAAGTCCAACCCAATGGACGCTATGTCGCCATCACCCTACTAGCAAGATGCTGGAGAAACATATGAACACCAGCCACAAACAAACAAACCATCAAAAAAACGTAAATCACAAGTTGAAGAGGATGAAAATCCTGACCTGATGTTTGAGAGATTTCAATCAAGCTTTCAGAAATTGGAAAAAGTCATGTTAAGTTTTGATGGAAAATTGAGCCAAATGGCGAATCAAGTCCAGGAAACACGTAACAAAGCAGATATTAAGGAAGCTTGGCCAAAACACAAGTTTGAGAAACAACGTGACCAACACGAATACAATACACTGCGACAAGTGGGAAGGGAGCTTGACCTGGCCATGGATTCTGGAACCGTTAATGATGTAACGAGCCACTTTGATGCTGCTAAGAAACTAGTAGGAGACAGAATGTTTACCTTAAGGGTAGCCGAAGGGTTTGGTTGGGACATCGCCTCAGCTCTACCTGATACGCAAGATGACTGGTTAAAAGGGAAGAACAGCCTAATTGAGAAGGCAAAGACATTAGCAGACGTAAGGAAAAACAAGAAGCAAAGGTCTTATGGCCTGTTCAAG